TATAAATTTTTTTTTTAAGTAGTAGCAAAATATAAACAACAAATAGAAGTCAAAAGTATTTATATTAGATCCAATTTAAAAATAATATAGTTTCTAAATGGCAACGTTGGTTTATTAAATAATAATAATTTTGTTATATTAACAACAAACTTTAAAATCATGAAATATAAACATTTATTAATTTTCTAAGCATGCAGTGTAATGGAAGGAAAATATAAATAAAAAATTAGAAATAAAAATTATTTATATTACTTTTTATTACTTTATATTACTATTTAAAAATAATATTTACTTTTACCGGCATTTACTTTAAAAAATAAATGAAATATTTCTTCGCAAAACTACATGTAAGAGAATTAGCAAAACAAAATACAAACATTGTTAACTTTTTTTTAAAATTGGCACGTGTAAAACTTTCAATTTAATTTTATCACCCCAAAATTTGAGTTCGATAACCTTTTTTACTTAACCACATTACTTAAATATCATTATTAAGTTCAACTAATTCATATTATTAAAACATCTAAAATACAAATATGTATTTTAAAATTAATTGTAAGTTCATCTCATCTCTCTTAAAAATTGCTACTTCTCAAAATTTCCCATTAAAAAATGCAATCTAACCTAACCATAATATACCATATAAAATTAAATAATTGAAAGATCGGGCTACAGAAAATCACACAAATTTTCGGAAAAATTTTGACCACTTCGCACACAATCGTCAATTAAAAAAAACTACTATTTTAGTATTTTAAATATTTTAATAAACGCAAAAATAGCATAGTATTTACAAGACGAAGTTATAAAAATTTGGAAAAACTAATAATGCACTGACGCACACAAAAATCAAACGAATACTAAATTTCATTTATCAAAAGCATTCGATAATCGTGGCGCAACGATAACCATTTAGTCGCACGGCGAGGTTGTCACATATGCTTTAGTATACAAATGAATGAATGATTTTATTCGAATAAAACCATTCGGTAGTTGAAATCATTCATTCAGTAACCATTCGATAGTCTAATTCATTCGATAGTCCTCATCGCTAACTAATACATAGCTCGGGATCTCTACTACCAGAAAACAACAGAAAAATTAAGTTAGCATGGAGTACGTAACGGAAGACCCAATCATATTCAAATCCAGAATGCCACTCTATCTAAAGAAGAAAACATTCGACCAATGTGTACTCCCAGTCATGAATGCGGTCTATGCATGCGAAACCTGGACACGTAAAACTGACATCATAAGGAAACTGCAGGTCACACAACGTTCAATGAGACGAAATATGCAGGCAATATTCAAGGGAGACCGTAAAAGAATAGAGTGGATACGACAAAAGACACAGGTAATAGATGTTCTCCACAGAATAAAATCCCTCAAGTGGCAATGGGCAGGACACCTGGCAAGAAGGACAGACAACAGATGGACCCCAAAAATTACAGCATGGTACCCACGAGGAATCAAGAGACCTAGAGGAAGACCAAATTTGAGATGGGACCGTAATATTAGGAAATCAGCAGGGATAACTTGGGCCAAGAGAGAATGTGAGGGAGGCTATACTATAATTGGAAATGGTTGAATAAGCTGAAAAGTATGATAAATGATGATTTATAGTTTAGATTAGATCTAAATTAGATAGCTATTAACCTCTATTCCACTACGACCCTTACAGGCCTACCTGTTGTGGGCCTGTTCTTATTTCTGGTTATATTCTCCAGTCATATTCCTTTCGCAAATCTATTAATTTGATGACTGAACATTCCATATAGCTTTTTACCAATGTAGAATGCTTGGGAGGGGGGACAATCACCGCGACCCTACAGATCTATTGTGTCTCCCCCTTTCTTGAGTTCGAACGAGTTATAACTCATCATACAGTCTCAGGATTTTTACAAAAGCTAGTATCTGAGACGGCTTCACAGAGGCTAGTTCTCCATCTCCGATATCAGTCGTACTTGTGTTTTCCTATTTTCCCCATAGAATCTGCATTCGCCGATGTGTCTTAGCTTCAATCTACGATGTGATTAAGGAGACAGTGTCCTGTTAAAAATTCCGCGACTATCCCAGGGTTGTTCTTACTTAATTCAAAGAAAATATGACTTTTCTCGGTCGTAAGTTCTGAGAAATTTCTTCGAGTATCTTAAGCCGTTGGAGGACTCCCATTCCAGGTTACAGGTGGACTCTTACAGGGTCTTGAATTTCTCTTTAAGTTGATTTCCACTTGGAAAGCAGACGCCCATACACCGGAAGATTTGGCCTGCGGATTTGGCCTGAAGATTTGATCTACGGACTTCGCCTGCGGATTGTAGTAGGTATTGTTATAGATATCTGTGGTAGTAGGTGAAATATTCTTAAAAATTTAAGCAAAAAACATGGTATAGTGACAGCTATTATTGGGTTCTATATTAACCCGCTTTTAAATTATCATCAGTCTATTACTAACTTGTAGCCTCATGCAAATATCTGATTTTCAATGATAAGATTTATGAATGGTACCTTCTAATTTTATATTTCACATGAGTACAATCCGAACGAAAACGTCCACAATTCGAATACTCATAATTTAACTTTGACCCTGAAAACTTTAGTTTATTTATTTTAACAGCTGATAGAAGGGTTGTGTACAGGTATTGGTTCGGTATTTTTGGTCGTGAAATTTAGAAATTTCGACAAAAAGTTACGCTGGCCATCATTAAGTAAGTTAATTAATAATCAAAACTTAATCGAAATATTTTCTTGATCTGTTAAATGCATTTTTTTTATAGTAAATTATTACAAGTACATTTTGATTTCTTATTTTTCAAAAAATGGCGAACTGAAGATCGATTTGGATTTCGCGTAATTTGTTTTTTTTTTCCTTTGCAAGGTATAAACTCTTATTTACATTAGAAATGAAATGTTTCCCAAAAATAATATAGATTAGAAATTCTTGTATCCATTTTAAGTAATTTCATTCATTTTGAAATAAAAACTAAAAAATAAAAACGATGATTAATGGGATGTTATAAATGGCTTGCCATCAAATTTGGTATTCTATATGACTTCATGATATCAGACAAAATTTAAATTTGAAATGAAAATATTTCGATGACAATTCCAACCAAAACATTTTAAACCATCTAAGCCGTCGAATATCGAATACACGAGACTCTCGCTTAACTGAAACAGAAAATAATAATGAACAATAAATCTGGTACATTGCAAACGGCTCAACCTAAGTTACTCCACAATATGACAAGATAATAATCTCAAAATTGTTTACATAAAACAGGTATTATTATTTAATTTGATTATCCAAGCTACCTACTCGAGCTAGGAGCGTAAAGGAGCGTTTCTATAAAAATCCGCTAATGTAAAATAAATAGCTTTCTCGTTGAGATCGGGCGTGCAGGTTGCCCCTCGACCCGTCCCTGTGCCCCTACCGGCTCTTCCACCGTTCCTACTATCGAAAACATCTAAATGAGATGCAATTAACATTTTTCCTGGCAAAGAGATTTTCGTCATGACCACAACTAGCCACCCGCATCATTCATTATCGATGTGCCGAACAGCGTTGCCAACAGAACAATAATTATTAGTAAGCTATATAAAAAAGTCCTTCCTTGTGAAACTTCGGCATGCATGTTCTGCAGATAAAATAAGTAAAAAGTTCATATAAATGTATGTCCTAAAATGCTTAGTTTCGGAGATACAGGGTGTGGAAGTTTTATTTTTATCTAGATTTTTTCCAAATAATTTATGAAGTAACGTAAATATTTGAATGAAAATTGGTGTCTGGGAGTTTTTTGACATGACAAATTTGATTTTGATGTCAATATGACTCCTAGTTGTAGAGGGCGCTACCTACATAATTTTAACTGGTTAGAAGAGTAATAACTTTTCGTCCGTAACTGTATAAAACTACTGACTAAATATACATTGACGACGTTTTTACGTAAATAAGGTCTCTTAGTTAAAATCGCTACAGTAATAGTTCTCGAGATATTTGGAACCGAAATTATGAATACTTCCCCAGATAGCACATTTACGTTCTTTTTTTCATATGCAAAGCAAGTGACTTTGGAGAACAACATCATGTTCTATTCACATTCCTTTTTTCATTGGGAACATATATGGCACATGAATAGCAGAGATTACGTTCCACCCTATATTCAAGTGATATAAAGTGGGTTTCACATTCCAAGATATATTGTATGAACGTGAATTATATGTTCGTAAAAGAATGTATTTAAAAATAATATTCCCAATTATATGATATTCATGTTTTTTAATATTCTATATTTATGCTTTTCATATGTTTTTCATATTTTTTGAAATTATCTACAGGCCAAAATAGAAACACTAATTTACCACAATATGTTTCAAGAAACCTTTTACTTTTGCACAGGACTGGCGCGTTTCGCCTAACCATGTTAGCATCATCTAATGATGGTCAAAATTTAAGTTTTAATCATCTGCTGATGACGCTAACATGATTAACCAAACAAGCGTCCAGTTCAAAAGTAAAGTGTTTTGGTATATTGTGGTGAATTAGTGTTTTATTTTGCTATTGTAACACCAAAGATTCCAACCCTCAACTCTGTATCTACAGGGTGTCCTGTATAAGGATGCACTGTACCAATATCCTATAAACTATAGATAGATACAATTTTTTTCATATTTAGCAATTTTTTTATCTCTTAAAATCTATAAGATACCTATACAGTACATTCATATCTAGGACACACTAAAAACAATTTGCTGAAATTAAATAATTTGATGTGTAATAATCAAAAATTAACTAATAAATAGAACGGTTAAAAATAATAGGTAAGGATAAAGACGAACTTGAGTAATATATGTTTATTAATTAAAAATATTTGAATATAACAATATACATTGATATTATCTTCTATGTCTATGTTTCTACATATTCTCTTGTCTACCCCTTCTGAAATAATATCAGCAAAAATTATACTGTTCAAATAAATTTGGCACAACTTACCTTTGTCTTTTGTTTTACAAGCCATATTTTAATTATATTGATAATTTTGGTTTCTTTTGACTCTTGAAATTGACCTTTCATGGAGTCTAAAATATATGTTATTACAACACCAAATATCTTTAAGTTCAGATACCTAAAATTGCTTTTGGCCACTAACAATGATTTCAAACTTCTCTTCTGTTTGGCCCCATCCGAAGAATATTTTTGTGCAATTTCATTGCCCAGAACCTTATAAAGCACTTTCCTTATACTTTGTGCTACTCCTGAACCACCAAGTCTAGATAATTCTCGAACCTAATAATTCTTGAAAATACCTTTCTCTTAAAAAATACACAATAAATGATTATAGAAGAGCCTACATAAATACCTATATAAATACTATATTATAGGAAAGTTCAGCACTGGAACTACACTTATTAGAACAGAAATCTTCAATGATACTACCAGAGATACTACTACATTGATGATGTACAGAGGATATTAAAGAATCACTTTGGTCTGAATCCAGTTTAATGTACAATATTGAAGTCATATTTGCGTAACATTGACTTAATAAGATTTTGACTCCTTTTTTTTGGTTGAATTTTAAAATATTTTTTAGTATAACCTATTTTTTTTCGAGGTCTCATGGTTTTAGAACATTAAATTCACTCCCCTTAAAATAGATACTGAAAACACAAACATAACAAGAAGTACTTTACCGATTCTATCCTTAAAATAATTATTTGCATCACTTACCTTTACGTTATCTCAGTGCTTTAATTATTAAAATAGTTTGGATGAAGTACGTTTACGTTTATGGTTCACTTGTTTTTTTGTTAGGTTATGTTATGGATGTACGATTCGAATAGATTTCAATCGAAGGTCGATCTTTTTACCCAAAAAATCGATTAAAATCATCTATCAAACTATCTTTTGGTATAATCGATCTTTTTATTTCATAATGGAAGATCGTTTTTATTTATACAGTTTTACAGGTTTATTTATTTGTTAGAATAAGAAACACTGTATTTTGCTTGAATATTTGTTTACAGTGCATCTATATACACTAATATATAAAATCCCTAATAATTATTTAATACACAAAAATTTAATAGTAAGAAAATATACAAATATAATGTATTATATTTATACATTTTTTCATTTCGAAATCATTTTTATTCTCCTTTATTTTTATTCAGATATTGATATGTTTAGAACGTGAATATCAGATACTTATAATTTATTGTAAACCATAATTTAAGAAGATATTCTAAGGTCATGCTGATAATATACCTTTAAATCACATTCATAGTAGAATGTACTATTCATATGCCATACTTATTAAAAAAAAGAATATACTTATAAGAACTTAGGAGGAATACTCTTAGAATGTAAATGTTTCTTTTGTGCTATCTGGGCTTATCTTCATTGACATAAATTAAACAAAAGTTCAACAGAAAAACTGTTCTATCATCATTTTTTTTTCGCAGAAAAATTTATGATTGATTTGAAAATATAAAAATTTCCCAAATTTATTATTTCAGTTAAATAACTATCTACTCAAGGTGTTTATTTTTCGTCAATAATGGCAGTATCGACTATTTCCATTCCAAATATCTTAACGTGTTTATTTCTTGTCAATATTAACATGTATTAAATATTTCCATTCTAAATATCTTGAGAACGGTTGTTCATATCGATTTTTACCAAGAGACATTTTTAAGTAAAAACGTCGTAAATGTATATTTTTTTACCCAGTAGTTTTATACAGGTACGGACGAAAAGTTATTACTCTTCAAAACAGTTAAAAAACATGTATGCTTACTTTTATATATTTTCTTTTAATCAAAATATTTTTTAGGAAACAAAATAAATTAATTATAAATATATATAAACATTTATTATTTACATCAACAAAACTCACCTTCTTAAAGGGATCACTTAAGGGATATAAAGGGTCATTACTAATTACTACCCCTGCGTTACTCGCACGGTGAGCACAGCGCTCACTCTTTAACTATTTTCTTAATTTTTTTCACAATTTTGCACAAACTGACAAGTGCGCTCATATAATCCTCCACACAACTATTGTGTTCAAGGTCACTTACGCAGAAATGCGATTGGAAAAACCTCAGTCTACTTTTAGCCGTCTTTGAGCGTGTATGTCGAAAAAAGAGCGATTAGCTCACCCGCGAGTAACGACGTGATTCTAATTTTGTGATTTTTAAAACCAATTTTTTTTTTTCTCGTCAACTTTGTTTTTTATGTCATTTGGCTCTACAATATTAATATGTTATGGATCCGAAAGAAGAGGCGAGACTTCTGAAAATATACGAAGAATTGTTGCAAGAGGATTTGCTACTTGAACAGGCGCAAGAGCAAAATTTGAATGATGAAGAAAGCGACATAGATTCTGTTGAAGTGAATTCTAATCATGAGACTGACTCAGAGTTATCTGCGGATGATACGGATAATACTTTTTCAACGTTTCGGTCTGAAGATGGTCCGAATTATATCGGTAAAGACAAAAAAACTATTTGGAAAGTTCATCGAGAGCGGAAAACTAGCCGGACTCGACAGCACAATATTATAACCAAATTACCGGGTGTGAAGTCTGCTGCAAGGAACGCTAAGACTCCATATGAAACCTGGAACTTGCTCATAACAGACGAAACCATCGAAGAAATAGTGTCCTGCACAAATGTATACCTACAACAAATTCGCAACAATTATTCCCGCGAACGAGATGTTTAGACACTGATAGTGACGAAATAAAAGCACTTTTTGGATTATTGTACATGGTCGGAGTTTTGAAATCCCGGCATACCAACTTGAATGATCTATGGAGCACCGATTCTACAGCACCAGAGTTATTCAAAATGGTTATGTCTGTCTATGAAAGATTCTACTTGTTGCTTCAAGCTCTTCGCTTCGATAATATTAGCACAAGAGCTGAGCGCAAAAAATTGATAAGCTAGCACCAATTAGAGATATTTTCAAGAAATTTCAAGAAAGATGCCAAGCCTGCTACACACCTAGTGAAAATTGTACAATTGACGAGATGCTAGGGTTTCCGGGGGAAGGTGCAGCTTTAGGCAATACATCCCCAGTAAGCCAAACAAATACGGCATAAAATATTTGCCTTGGCTGATAGTCGTGTATTCTACACTCTCAAAATGGAGATGTATGCAGGAAAACAGCCTGAGGGTCCATTTTGTATTGATAACAGTCCAGCTTGTGTGGTAAAAACAGATGTGTGAACCCATTTTGGAATTCTGGACGAAATTTGACCTGCGATAACTGGTTCACATCAGTTCCTTTAGCAGAAGATCTCAAGAAGAATGAAATAACTTTAGTTGGGACAATTAGAAAAACAAACGTGAAATTCCCGAAATATTTTGTTGCAACTAAACAAAGGCCTGTTTGCAGCGGTATGTTTGCTTTTGGCCGAGAATCTCTATTAGTTTCGTACGTCCCAAAAAGAAAAACAAGAATGTTCCTGCTATTGTCAACACTTCATGAATATGATGAAATTGATGCAGAAAGTGGCAGAAGCCTGCAAGCCAGCAGTGGTTACTTTTTACAATCAAACTAAATCGGGAATAGATTCTGTGGACCAGCTCAAAAGTCTTTATTCAGTGGCAAGAAATACATGTAGGTGGTTGACTGTGTTTTTAGTATCATGAACATCGCTGGAATAAATGGGAACATTATATTTAGAACCAATGTATTAGATTCTAATCAACCAAGGCGAGAATATTTGAAAAATTTAGCTAGACAACTCGTTACTCCACACATGCAGGGAAGAGCGTCACAAAATCTACCATTTCTACTACGTTTGCAAATAAAAATACCTGAATATTCCGTTAACACAGGAGAGAAGTTCCACAAGAAAACGAAACTGGTGCAAGGCCAAAATGCTATAACTGTCCCAAGAAAAAGAACCGCAAAACAACCACAAAGTGCTCAAAGTGCCTTAGAGCAATTTGTAAAGAACATACTATTGCCATTTGTACTGAATGTGGACGCGATGAAAATCTTGAATCGGAGTGATTTTTTTCTAAAAAAACATTATCCTAGTTAGCATATTACTACCTGTTTCGTAGTTCAACTTCTTTATGTATATGTTTACTTGTTCATGTTTATGAAAATATCTTTTATTTGGTTAAAAAATATTACTTTGCTGACAATAATGCTAGATATATGTTTAGTTTTGATTTAATAAAACCATTTTTATAATTTTTGCTTTTTTTGTGCCTAATAAAAATCAATATGATGCACATAATTGCCAAGTGAGCTCCACGCTCACCTGCGAGCAACGGCGTTTCATTTTACCACGCGAGTAACGCAGGGCTACCGTTTTTCCGTTCAAAAAATTCTTATAAAGTCGCGATGAGTTTTTTATGGCTATTACGCTATCTTGTACAGTTTGCACTAAAAAGGTTCTAAAAAGAACAATGTTCGACAGCAAGGTCTGCTAGTAAATATTTTTGAGCTAAAGTATCACGACACTATTTATTTAAACCAAAAACTCGTAATACAAAACCTCATACAAAACTAAAGTGTCAAAACGAATGACATTGTCAGGAAATAAATAAATAAATGCGGCAACTTGACATTTTTTACAGCAGAGTTACCACCTTAATCCTTAGAGCGAAATGTAAATTTCAGTTAGTCCAGTTAGGTGCCGAATATGTCCATGGTGGGAAACGCATTAATGAATTTAAAAATCGCGCGTTCAGTTACGTAACTATAAGTTTAATTGATATCAAATACCGTATGATCGAAAAAAAACCGGGTCCAGTTGGCTTGGAAATGAACATCGATGACATTCCCCATATAAAATGACAGCGATTTTTATTTCATAGCCATCGCTGACGCCGTTTTTTTCGATGATACGGTATATTAATATATCGCAAGTAGTATCAGTTAGTAGTTCGTTCAAATAGATGAATCGTAGGAGTCGATTCAATATGAGAAATTGAATCGCGTGATTGGATTCAATAAAAATAATCGTAAAGCCCATCATTAAACTGTTTAAATCTTTAAGTCACTTAATTCCTTACACTACTAAATCTCTATGTCAAGACTACCTAAATATCTAATTAGTCAGTATACAACACATTTAAAAATACGCATATTTAAGAAATTGCTAATTTAAGGAATGCATGTATGTACTCACTTATTTGATCTCCCCGAAAGAGGATATAATTAAAATTTATACCTAATAATTTTCATTATGA